TCCACCTTTATTCTTTTCTTTACAATAAGGCTTTCAAATTAGTCATGGCTGTACGGCAGTGAAGCATTGGTGTTGAGCACTGATGTCATGCTGTATGATGTGATGATGACTCCAACCAGGGCAGTGGGTATCACGCGGCTCTCATCCTGATAGACAGGTAGCATCAACAAAACGCAAATTACAAACTTTCATGTCATGCTGTCGTTGATGATGATGACTCCAACCAGGGCAGTGGGTATCACGCGGCTCTCATCCTGATAGACAGGTAGCATCAACAAAACGCAAATTTTTTTACAAACTTTCATGCCCTTTGCCAGGTCATGGATTGGCCACCTTTTTGCTTTCACTACTCTAAATCGGGCACGGCATATAGCACTCTTTGGCAAGCGATGATTCGTTATACCCAATACATTACCCTATTAACGCAGCTTCTGGTGCTAGACATCCCTCAGTTGAAGTCCCTGTTGCACAACTGAAAGCTCACTTTCTAATTGCTTAGTTGCAGGTTCTTCGACACCAGCCCACACGAGCTATGGTGCCGAGATAAAAATTGTCTTACACCTGAAGACTTCTCAGTTCTGCCGGTCGAATACGCCAAGTCTCAGCTTTTGGAGTGCTCTCGGTATATCCTCACACATCCGGAATTGTGAAAATACAAAGAACGTACTATGTTCATAAATTTCCGGGGCATTCCGTGATGGGAAAGCGTGTCAAGGAGAACAGACCGTTCAGCAAAATCGAATGAACCTTGAAAATCCAGGAATACTAAAATGTTGGTCGTTTTTCTAGCACTTTACGCCGTGAAGATTTGGTCAATGCAACCCCTACCTGGCCTGAATCCCGCTTGCTGCTCAGTGCTTTACGAGTCTCCATAAAGCGACGAAGCACAAGTGACGCCGGAAATATCGTTACAACCGAGGTTAAGCTGATCCACACCCACTGCGAACGTTTTTTTTAAATGGGCACTGTCTCCCTCAGTTATCTGGGACAGTCGCCTTTTCCCTAATGCAGGCAAGCAGATCAAACAATCGCTGACTATGGACTTCACTCCCATTTTTGAACAATGTGGGTGGGAGGTCATCTGGATCAGTAGCTTGGTAGCACTTGAGAGGCCGTGGGGGCTTCGTCGTTCACCTTCCAGAGCTCTCTGTCAACTGTGAGCTCCAAATGACCGACAGCTGGTGGCCACGACAACTGTTTTTCGAAGTATTCGGCCCACCAGTCTAGTTGTTCTTTATCCAAGTTGGTCATTCCATTCCGATCCTTGATGATTTTGCTCTCAGTTGGTCTCCAGGGACCAATCGCGCGGATCAACTGGAAGTCTTTGGGCATTACCAGCTTTCGGGGCCTCTTCCATTCGCTTGGCTTTCTGTGTCAACCAGATTTCACTGTCGGTTCGCACGCGGACTTTCACTGGACGCCTGGCAATTCATTACGCCAAGTTATGTTCGGGACCGGCTGGGATGTTTCTGCGAGCTCTAAGCAGTCCCACCGTTCGGTCTGATATCCAATGCTTGAGTGAGCCTGGTAGCGTCGTACCACAAGCGAAACTCCCAGCACTGTGCAAAGAGGTGGGGATCTCGTTCCAGTATGAATTCACATCTGATGGTGGAGCATTTGGAAGAGACTTGAAGACCATTCTAATAAGTTCGTTTAACATCCGGATCTGGCAGTCTTTCAGTTAAGCGATTGGTCCGCACCTTACACGGTCCTGGAAAGCTCTCTTGTGAGTCAATAATGGGATGAGAAGAGAGCGAAGAAAAAATGTGAAAGAGAAGGAAGGGAGGTGTCAGCAGTAGTTTTTCTTTGCTTACTCGCTTTGCTCTATGCAGCGAGTAATGCTACCCGGCTGATGGCACCACACAATGGCAGATGTCGCATGAGTTTTTTTCTATATGTGCAGTTCTTGGTTGTACGTGGGCTAGGATACTGCTATGGTGCCCACATCTAGACATGAGGGCGATTAGGGTCCTCAACAAAAGTTTTTGGCTCAAAAGTCAAACCGCAAGGCAGTGGCGTTTGGCGGGAAATGCAAGTACATTACCATTGTTACGGAACACGTCGCCATACACGTTCCAACCACCAACCTGAACGACCAGGAAACGTTCCTCAGACCTCTGACCAGCGACCAACCCGGGCGTATCGCAGGCACCCCCTAGTATAGCTTAGCGGTTTGTTGCAGTGAAGCATCAGTGCCAACACTGACGTTGCTCTCTTTGATGACGATGATGATGATGTGGTTTGTTGGGGTAAAAAAACTCACACCACAGTAAGAACTAGTCTCTTCGTGACAGGGAGGAATCTCTTGCAGCACTTCCAACAAAATCGCGGTCCTATCAGAGATCCAGTGCTGATGGAGGAGGTGACTGGGTTGCACCGCGGAAATTCCGACATTGGGTACAGTTTTGGTTGTCTCTGGTGATCGACATCGGACCAGCATGGACCAAGCGGTGGAGTTGTCTGTTTTGCTACGCTCTTTTGATTTTGGTATATTAGGTCCTCAAAGGCCAAGCGAAGCCTGCGTGTTCTATTCGAACACGAACACAGCCAACCGTTTGCAACGTTGGGCTATGACTTCCCCATCAAGACCAGTCTACTGATGCTATTGGCCAAGCTGATGCATTATCAAGACTCATGGATTCTCAACGTCAACAACCCGAGGATGCTGTTGTTGCCTCGATAACGGTGGAACCAGAAGTTAACGCAGTGCTTGCTACTACAATCCGTTCACTCCCAGTTACTTCCGCCATGGTTCGCGACGCCACTGCTCGTGATCCGTTACTTCAAAATGTACTCCATTTTCACCGCACACAATGGCCTACAGTATGTTCCGATAAACAACTTCAACCGTTCTACCAACGTCGATCCTCACTCTCCGAGGTTGATGGTTGTTTAATCTTCGCAGAACGAGTAATTGTGCCCCCGGAATTACGGAGTGATGTCCTCAAACGATTTCATTTTGGACATCCCGGTATTAACCGCATGAAGGCGCTAACATGTAGTTATGTCTACTGGCCGAGCATGGATAAGCACTTAGAAGAACTTGTACGCAAGTGCTCCAAATGCCAACTATCTGCGAAATCCCCTCGAAAAACAGAATTATGTTCATGGCCTGTCCCAGAAACTCCATGGTCACGAATTCATGTTGATTTTGCGGGACCAATCAACGGCCAACAATATCTCATCCTAGTAGATGCTTATAGCAAATGGCCAGAAGTGTTTAGCATGAACCATATTACTGCTGAGGCTACCATTTCAAAACTACAACATGTGTTTAGCCACTTCGGAGTTCCAAATATCATTGTTTCCGACAACGGCAGTGCATTCACTTCCGCTAAATTTTCCGATTTCTGTCAAGAAAATGCCATACAACACGTGCGATCACCACCATTTCATCCACAATCAAATGGCCAAGTGGAAAGATTTGTGGACACTTTCAAACGCGCACTCCAAAAACTCAAAGGGGAGGGGACCACACCGGAAATCATCGAGACATTTCTGCTGAGTTACAGGGCGACACCAAATGTTAACGCTCCACATGGTAAGTCCCCGGCGGAGGTACTTATGAACCGGAAGGTCCGCTTACCCGTTGACGTCATCCGTCCAACACCACATTCGCCAACCGGTAGAAACATAAATATGGAAGTTCAGTTCAACCGACATCACGGTGCTGCAAAGAACATATTTATACCCGGCCAATCTGTGCTAGCGAAAGACTATCGTGGTGGCACGGAAAAGTGGACACAAGGCATAATTGTGCGCCTGGCCGGAAGAGTTGTCTATGAGGTAAATGTAGGCTCCTCTATCTGGGTCCGTCATGTCAATCAGCTACGCGCTTCGTATCTTCCAGCGGCACCTACACTCGACCCTGTTCTTCCACTGGAGACTCTTCTCAACACATTTGAGTTGGCTCAAAAGCCAAAATCTCCAGAGCCGATGAATGAACCAGAAATTTCCAAAAGTTGTACACCTAGAAGATGGACCGATCGGATCAGAAAGCCTGTCATACGAATGCAACTGAACCCACAACTCCAGTCGTACGAACAATGACTTCAAATGGGAGGTGTTAGGAGGCACTCCTAACGAACATATTGCTCAACATTTCTCTCTCTCTATTTCAGCCTTTCATTGGACTGTTTTGTTCCATTCCCTTCTTGATTCTTCGAATCTCGATATTGGCTGTTCAGTTCAGTCAGTATAATTTCCTCAAGGCTTTTTGTCTTCTCAATTTCTTGTGTAACTGACAAGGTTGATTGACTGGTTAGTAGAGAACCAAACTGGCGATGATTGACTGGTTAGTAGAGAACATAACAAACTGGCGACGAAAAATTGCGTGGTCGGAGTTTACGGAGGCAGTCCAGAATGAGCGGCAAGTGACGCTCATTCCTCATCACCGGTGGATGTTGGCAATGGGTTCCATTTGGGTTTGCGGCCGGGTCACTGCTGAACACCACACGGCCAAGTGATTTCCGCTGTCTCGGAAGTTTGCACTGCAAGGAAAGTCCGTGGCCAGTACAAATATGCAGTAATTGCTCTGCGTTGTCCGGGTGTCTCGTGTCTAATCCGAGCAAGCAACTGTCGTTCAGCTGTAACAGCTGTAGCACCCTTTCGGGACCTAACTGCTATGCCACCGGAAGGAAGCATAAGGGTTGGTATACTGCCCGGTTACCCAAGCCTAGACAGGGGACGTCGAGAGGCAGAGGCCGGGTTCGTACCACGAACTTTCCGTTCAGTAAATTCGCACTTTAACCACTGTACTATCCCTCAAGCAATTGTTCCCTAGCAGCGCTAAGCCTACTTATATGTTCATGCTACCGGCAATTATAGCAGTGTCTGAGCTTTTAGCCCGTTGTAAAAGAAAACCTAGAACGTCATAGGAACTGCCCTTGGCAGATTAAAAGCCCCGGCAGATATGGTTAATATATCACTCTGTACATCATTTTATGTGGATTCCTTCCGGGGAATCTCGCATACTTGTAAGACCAGCTTTTCATGCCCGGTTCAGAGTGAGACCGTTGAGGGCAGCTAATTAAACCGGCCTTTGGAGTTTATATATATATATATATATATATATATATATATTTGANATTCCAATGAGTAAATAAGTGCCGTGCTCACAACTTTCATCGTTTGTCTGTTTTAGTTTGATAGGTCATACTAATTGTGATGGAGGAGCAGATGCTTTTCGAGAATTTGGACGAGAAACTTGAAGACGAACTTGCTGTGGTACTGCTCATTGAATGCCTTGCTTCATCACCAGTTGTATTTTAGATAACCACCACATGGCTTTCCATCAACTTTGAGCTGCCCATAGGAGAAGCAGAGGGGTGGGTTCGTTTTATGTGACTAACAGGCGAAACACAGTCTATTGAACAAATATTTTACTTCCCATCCCCATTTATCAGCTGTGTTTTTGCTCACGGGACTATCGTCAGAGGGCGAGTTGACAGTTCGTCTAACGCCAAATGAGAAACTAAAAGAATGTGAAGCAGTTTTTGTTGGGAAACCTGTTCGAACTATTTACAGTGTACAGCGGCACCCGTGTAGAGTACGCATTACTTATGCACTTGAAACATAATCCCTTGACCAGAGTTCAACTACGGTGGCCACCTGTGCGTTGTTCAGTGATATTAGCGCTGATGCCCTGAAGAAGTAAGTATCTCTGCGAAACACCTTTCTTTATTGTAGACTGGTGACGATTCCTTGGTGCCCGACGGAATCCTCGCGACAACCCTTGGCGAGTTGTGAAAACAAACAAAACGAGATTCGTAAACAGCCCGACATACCGGTCGCTTCAAACCATTGTACGTCCAACCTTAACTTTTGCATATGAGGCCCCTGTTTAGCCCGACAAATCGAAAAGCCAAAGACATCTGACATTTCGAACTTCTTTACCACGACATCGAAACCCAGCTCAACTACTGGTAGGTTTCCTTTTTTCCTCAAATTTCGCTCGTCACAGTACTCCAGAAACAAGGACAAAAACGTCCATCGTAAGTTCCCCACAACTTTGTTGTTCCATCCTACCAATTTCTAGCACCTTCGATACAAAACCTGGTAAGAAGGTGAGTCCAAAAAAGACTGTTCCGGAAAAACCAGTGGCTTTCATCTCCAAGTCAACAGATCAGGAGGAAGAGGAAGAAGAATTTCTAACCAGCGCTGGTACGTCTTTTCTTGGTCATCTTCTAACGATCACTACATGTTTCAGTGCTTAGGTCCTCAAAGCGTAAACGCCTAATCATTGATTCGGATGAGGAAACTACTACCGATCCAGTCGAAAAAGTCCCACAATCCCGAGCAAGTCCACGTAAATCGGCCGATCGTGATCAGAAAACGACTACAAAAGGTGAGCTCTTTCACCATTTTCATCTCCAGAGATTTCGAATACGTAGTGGAAAACGAAATAATTTCACTCATTTGCAAATCGATTTGGTTTTCCGGGAGACTCCAATTGAATGTCTCGTTTATGATGTGGTCGAGCTGAATGTGCTGCACACAGGCCGCCTGATGATTCAGTTGGCACGATATTCGAGATATCGCAGTATATTTTCATCAAGGAAACTACTCACAAGGTTGGTGAAAACTCTTGGACAGCCGACGACCGGTTTCGCCCTTGTTGGGCTCATCCGGTAGGCGCAGTCCCCGAGTTTCCGTCAACCTGACGATCTAGTTGAACCCGAATTGCACTGTTTTCGAGGACTACACTCATTTGCAAATCGATTTGGTTTTCACGGGAGACTCAATTGAATCTCTCGTTTAAGATGTCCTCCAGCTGAATGTGCTGCACACAGGCCGCCTCATGATTCTGTTGGCACAATATTCGAGATATCGCAGTATATTTTCTTCAGTTAATCCCTGAGTGTTACAACAGCATTTCACTATAGCGAATCCTTGTAGCGCCACTCGCCCACAGAAAAAGTGAAAAAGAGGGGGGGTTGGTGTTATAAACGAGACCGAACTTATTACAAGGAGAACAGTACCTGTTGCTCGGTGATATTCGTGGCGCTTTTCAACTATTTGACATGATACAGAGATGTGATCATCGTACACCTATTTGATCACAGTCCTGCTTGATGCTTTCGAATTCGCATATCACGCGCGGGAGTTAGTTCTCACAGTACCAAGGAAGCTGGTATTCCTGCCATGACAGACCTGATGCTAATAACTCTATGGTTGGAACATTCGCTTTGAGCATGATTTTTGACTGAATGTACGACGACTGATTGGCTCCACTCCCTTCATTGTTTTCAAGTGATTTGAAGCAACATTTTCAAAACGGAACACAGTGATTTACCCCTGGCTTTGAATACTGCTGTTGGAAGCTCATCTGGCCTAGTATCCCGTTGGCGTCTCAAGGCAGACAGGTGTGGTAATACATTTTTAAGTTGAAGCTGGAGACCACAGCTCCACTTGAGCTGGTCGAATAAAAGTCACATTGTTGTACATTGGGTATTCAGTCTTATCTTTGAACAACTCCTTAACCGAAGGTCTTGTTTCTCTCATTGACTGAAACAGCTTCCGCGCGTTCCCGACTGCACTACCCTTTCCATTTCGTGAGCTGTCTATTGTGAGCACGTCCACATAAGCACTTCGTTTCAGATGACCTCCTACGGACTTTCTAGCAGATTTATTTTCTGAGCCCGATAAGATACATCATCTCACTCCAAAGAGTCAGATTGGCGGCCCGGAATTTCAGTGATTTTTGTGCATGTGATTGTGAGCTCTACAAGCAAAACGATTATTGTGCTTTGAGGAACTTTGATAAGTGAACTTTGATAAGTTGGACCGAGATGACTCAGTAGTGAGAGCACGGATTTACTGACCGGAAATTACATAGTTCGAACCCGACTTCTTCCCCTCCACTTCTCCTGTTTAGACTTGGGCAACCTGTCAGTATACCAGTCCTCGTGCTCCATTCTGGTGGCATGGCGGTTAGGCACCGAATGGGTGCTGCAGTTGAATGATTTGATTAGTTTATCTTGTGGCCAAATGTTGATCTGTTTCTCTAGGCTTGCCAGACAAAAATAATGAAAACACATGCCGTACGGGAGCGTGATCCGAACCTGCAGTCAAGAACTACATCTCACCAACACTAACCAGTGCAATGTGATCATTTTGACAGCGCAGTTGCTCATCAGCAGGGGGACTGTAGATAGCACAATTGCATCCGATGCGTCTAAACCCAGTACCAGTAAATAAGCTACTGGTGGTTCGTACGAAGTTGCAAAAGGCACCCACGGTTGTCGTTATATTCGGCGTCCAACTTTACTCCACCAAGACGTGTCTTCGATGAACCAAGGTATCCTGCGAGTGCTCTGAAGCGTCCAGCCATTACGAATATATCTACTTTGTCCGTGGGTTCTCTAAGCCAATGACCGTTAGTTATGTTGAAAAAAATCGGTTAGTGGCCGTAAAATGAGATTGTTTAAATGAATCGCGCGCACCTTTATGAATTCACACATTTTTGTCTACTAGGCAAAGATGAGTAGTGCACTATTACAGATTTCGCCCAACCGCCACTGTTTTCAGCTACCAAGAAAATCTTGGCTGCTGATTCAGAAACAGACTCGCCAACACCGAAGCCAGCACGAGGCCGAAGACCCCGCTCTGCTGCAGCTGCTACCGAAACTGAAAGGGAGTCGTCAATCGCTTCTCCGTCACGTGAATCTCGGACGACCGTGTGCAGCCCAAAGAAACCTCAGGCTTCTAAACCCAAGAGTCCGGTCAAGATGAATCGTCGCAGACGACAGGTTTTGAAGACATTCATGGATGACGATGGCTACATGGGTTAGTCTGCTTTCTTTATCGAATAGGTTCTCTGACTTGAATCGTGCATCCGTATGGTTCATTCCGAATGTATATACTCTAGAAAATGAGATTTTACATTGTCTTATGCATCTTTTTAGGCGACAGCGATGTGTTCCAAGATCGGCGCCCCAAAGCAGCGAGGGATCTGCTATTCAAAATCATGGATAGCTATCTGAAACCTCATAGACTTTCGGAAGATTTACCAGGAAGTCAGTTGGGGGACTATTTAGCGAAAGAACGTTCTGTAAGATGTTGCTGCCACCTCGCTCATGGGTTTAGCATGATCACCGCCACAGGTACATTTGCGAATAAGTATGAGCACACACGAGATAAAGTAATGTGCACCTGCTACATCTTTTCTGTTCAATTTTACTCGTCTTTTTCCCTTAAATCACGACAGTTGAACATGAGGAATACCAAATAACTAACACGTATGAAGTGCGTGAAATGCAACTACGATTATCCGTTAGTCTTTGCACATTTTCGTCTTCCTCTCAACTTTTGATCCTCAGTGAAATACGTCTAATCTCAGGTGGATACAGAATGTAACTGCGCTGTCAAGAGTGAATTCTGAATCCCGTGAACGTCACACACTTTGCCGTGAATACGCGGAACACCATCAAAGCCAAACCAAGTTGGGTACAAAAGTGACTGTTTCACTGGACGCTAAACTATTCCTTATTTTTGTTTAGTAAAATACATCACTTTAGCATGACTTCGTCTAGTGTGCATGAACGCCCCACTCTCACTCCGTCGCTTTCATCTTCAAACCTTTTCTGTTGCGAAAATTACGCTTACTCACTTACGCTCTTCTCATCGTGATTGATGTTTTTGATGGGCTTAGGTTCTATCTGCGAGCCAGTACATTGATAGTGCTAAATAATCACCACTGTTTTGTAAGATGGGCGGTGTGTATGGACAGCTTATCATCCTGGGGGATTATTTCCTCACCTGAACTACTAGACGTAACTGGAAAGAGATAGGTACCCGTGTCAGTGTACAGATTTGTCCTGTTTTTCACCCGGTGCTATTTAATGGCCCCGCGCTAGCAAAAACTTCTCCCCAAGCTATCTTGGTGACTTCGGTCGTTCAAACCCCCATTATTCCCCGAGTTCATGGCAGTAGCGCCCGTCTGTGCTCCAAAAAGATTTCTATTTCAGTCTGTCGTGCATATGAATGTTTCCAACATGGAATTTGGCGTTTCTTAAGTGTGGAACATTTCGAATTAGTTTATACACTCGTCTAACGCTCATACTGAGATTACGAGAGCTTTTCAATTTTGTTGTCTGATTAGATGTGACCTTCATCAGTCGTTGCCTTGTTTTCTCAGAAGTCCCTCAAATCACTGCCAGTCTTTTGATGGTGCGTCTTATTTCGTAACAAGTGCTACCTGCTACTCATTTATCCCAATATTTCCCCTTGTTTTAAACAAGGGTGCACCGAAAGTGATGCACCGCGTTATTCTCGTTTTTGAACGAGAAATTGATCAACTCATCTCAGGAGCATATCTCACCAGCGAACATCACTCAGTGTACAGCGTAACAGAAATCACCTTGAAGTGCGAAACTCACTGTCTGAAACAATGTTTATCCATCGCATAGGCTTGGACAATCTGACAGTATCTCAGCCCTCATGCTTCCTTCGGGTGGCGTGGCAAGTGGGCGCCGAAAGGGCATTACTGCTGAGCGATTATTATAGGATACCGTGCGCGTATTACACGGTGCATAATGACGAGATCTTCGGTCATAATTGCCATCGCTGGACAAACAGTAACGAAGCGGCAACACCAGAGGCGTCGAAAATTATGTTCTGATATTTCGTTCGTTATAGGGAGGGCGTCGTTGCCTCAACGAGGAAATGTGTGCTTCAGCGTTTCGAGTAATATGGTGTTTTTTTTGACCCCATAGATAAACTTCTCTGAGGAGGAAGCACGGTATTAAATAATGAGATCGAATGTTGAAGGTCTAGGAGATCAGGAAACAGCAGTTGCTTAGAGGGAAGGGACCAACTTCAGTGACGCGAAATAAACACGAACTGTGAAATAGCACGCAGCACCCAACACGGCGTAGCAGCAGAGGCGCGACAAATTACCTAAACTGAGAGCTTTCAATCAATTCATAAGCGAGAATTATCGGCTCGTAGGTGTTGCATCTATATACAACAGGTTTCACATGACTTCTTCGTCGTAGGCATTGGTCCATTTAGGGGATGTGTGCAACGGGCTGATGATCCTCGTTCTTGAATTCAAATACCACCCATATAAACGGTCGAGTGTTAGAGACAGAACGTGTGCATAACAAATGTTGACCGATTTGACCGGCTTCTTTGCTACGGAAGGATAGACGTAGGGGATTCAAGATCGTCTGGGTATGGTAGGGGCTAGTACAGTCGGCAAAGCACAGGCTGTTTGGGCCAGTCCGCAAAATGGTACCCAACAGGCTTTCTGTTATTGAGTTAATCAAAGATGATTTTGGAAACTCAATGTATAATAAAAACCAGAGGCGAAACGGCTCAGTGGTTAGAGCGCGAAATTGCTGATCGGAAGGTCCGTGGTTCGAACCTGACCTCTGCTTCTTGATTTCTCTCGTCTAGGCTTGGGCAACCTGGCAGTATCCCGTATTTCTGTCGGGTGGCAGCTAGGCACCGAAAGGGTGTTACAGCTGAACGATAAATATGGAACATCTGAGCTCGTCTGAAGCGGTTTGAGGCACCCGACCGAGAGGTGGCCTTGTATGCGTGTTTCTGAGACGCAATCTACTTAGCTAGATAGGGGAAGCAAGGTTTCAGCAAAAGATGACTTTGCAAATTTGACGCAGATGGTCAGTGGAAGTTGCAACGTGGAGTAGCGAAAATTGTTCAGTCCATCCCATCGATGGCGTCTCACTTCGACATGATATTCAAAATGTGTTTATCCCAATGTCATTTGAAGTACCAGTGTTTTAATCTTGGTCGTTTTCCCTAAGGACACAAGGTTTGATTCACTGTTTGCCAGGACGTTCTGTTCTCGTGGTTATGTGGCAACTCAGCGCCAATATGTACTGCTATCAGTGTTCAGCTGTTATCAGTGTCGAGGTTGGCAACTCATTGGCTTAGTGCCTGTCAGATCCACCGTGAGAATCATGAGAAGATGAGGATATACGCGTGACTGTTTTCATATGGTTTAATTTCCTAACGATTTCTCCACTTTAACTGAAACAATTAGCCACCTAGCTGTTATTTCCACATTGAACTAGATTAAAGCAGAGTCAAAGAAAAGATTGGTACGGGCTCATATGCTGAGGGGAGTGAGTAAGCTTAAGCAGATTGAAAATCAATATTATTCGAAACGACTGCAGTTTCGCTTACTTGAACAGAGGGCCAACGAGTTCATACACTTGAGCTTATTCCTAGCGCTGCTTCTGTAAGTTTTATTGGTCTGAGATTGACGATCGATATCTCTGCCTGTACATCATCTGTGAAACTTTGTGTGCTACTTATTTTTGACTTTCTTCGCGGACTCTGTCGTATGTACTCACACGTGTGAGAAGATTGAGTTATTCCATATCGCGCGTTAAGTCACGTGTGCGAACATAATGAAACCTCTATTACGTTTGCTCTGATCAGGCGTATATGAAGTTGTGGATTTCACACGTGTCTATGGAAGACTGATGGCTACCAAACGTAAGGGGTAAGGAATGCGGCAATGTGCTGATTCGTTCTTATGGATTTTTTTAGGACATCACGAGGCTCGCCTGAGTTGTCGAATGTTTCTGCTTGTATGGCATATGGCTGCGTTCTGTTATCCTGCCTCCTAGTGTATCATGCACCCTTTATTGTGCACGTGATACCTGACCGAGGTTCGATGAAAGCTATGGTCGCTCTGTGGGCATGTCTTGCACGTAATCCTGGTGTTTTACTCCTCAAGTAGGTTGTCGGAGGTACAAGGTGCTTTAGCAGTTTCACGAAGTTAGTCAAGTACTTTGGCTAAAATTATCGCCCATTCCATCGTACTAAGGTATGCCATATCGACACACAGCTTTATCTGTGTTCTGCATAAAGATATCATAATGTGTTATCTTAATAACTCACTTGTGAGATCGCCCATTCCATCGTACTAAGGTATGCCCTATCGACCTCGTAAACACAGCTTCATCTGTGTTCTGCATAAAGATATGTGTTATCTTAATAACTCACTTGTGATTGTTTGATAGACAATAAACTTTCATTTCTTTTCACTGCAGTGACTGAGAAAGTGTGGGAAAGTGCATCAGAAAATGACGAGGAACCCGATGAACCAATTGAAGCTGTCCAGTCGGCCGTTGACGCTAAACCTTGTGTATCTCCGTCGAAGCATGACACTGATGCTCGTCTAACGGGCACTCCAACCTTGGGTTCCACAGTGAGTATTTTTCTACTTTTCTTGAGGAGATCCAAATGATGATGGACGCCTGTTTCCTTGTACTTAATCCCATCAAAGCTTAGTTGTTTCGTTATATCTACACATCGATAGCTGTGAAGCGCCAGTGAATGATAGTTTAGTGACACAGTCTGCCTGCTAACATCCAAAAGGGCTAGTAGGTTTCACTTCTTGCGTACTCTCAAAATTGGTTGCCTGCAATATTTCGAGTGTATCGAGAGTAGGAAGGGGAAATGGCAATATTCCATTGCGTCACGTCGTATCCAAAGAAGTGTGAACTCTAATACAATGTTCTGAAGTCCATGTCTCGAGGTCTATGTATCTTTGGTCTACAGGTTCGTCGGGTAATTTTATCAGTGCATCCATTTCGATCTTAAAGGACCCGAAAATGGGATAAAAGTTAAAGAAGTGACCATTCTTTCCACATCAGTGACAAGTCTATCAGTTATTTTTCAGATGGAATTTCTGTGAATCTATCGAGTCTCACAGCCTGAACGCCTTGGCTTGGTTTTGCCTATTTCAGACGGTTCCGTTCAAGGCATTAGGACACGACCCCTAGAGGTGTTCCGAGATCTTCGTCATTTGAATGGCAATTTTCTCATTTGTGCATTGATTCATGTCTGAGACCTGGTCTACTGGGATTTAGCAGTGAAAACCTTTGATTGCTTCATAGCTGTTGTGCGATGCCCAGCTTTGAATGCTGTCCTAGACTGCTGTATCGGATACTTTTATTAGTCTTGTAGCCTGAAAGCTCGGATGCCCTACTGTACGGCGGTTAACTCTGCTTTGCTCTGGCGAGTTACATTGAGTTGTACTCCTTGAGTAGTTGCGCAAATTAATCCCACGCACATGAAATATAGGTGTCGGCCATTTCATCCCCGAATCCTTAGGCGTGCTCAAATTTCTGTCGGTATGTTTTTGGCCACCCTGTACAGTATAATGATGTTTGACGTAAGTTAACTGTAGGATCCTCAGTAAATTTGGCCTTAATAACATGTTAAAACATGTAACATTCTGCATGGTGTCCAGTCACTTTTGGGAATACATGGAAAATGTTGAAGATTAAAAATCCGGGTGACTAAGGCCCTAGAGGTAGATATGGAACTAGATCAGTTTGTTTGCAAAAATCGTTACGGAAGTAGCAGCATTGACAACACCAGAGAAAATTCTGAATGAAGGAAANCAGAGGTGGAATGGGTCCACTGCTTGACTTTCACGATTATTCGACGTGCCCTATCCCTTGACTATCTAAATAGAAACTGCTGGCACGGACGCTGTTGGTTTCATGCCAAGAATTGCTGTCTGTCGAACCACTGCCAAGATCTTGTGGGCCGCATCCAGCTTTCTGTGAAGACCAACCGACTGTCTGATGCCTCGATGTCGCTTCTGCAAACATGGGTTGAATGCCAGACGCTCACAAAAGGACACTACTTGTTTGGGAAATGGGCATCCGTGAGAAGATCGAAATTACACCCTGCTAATCTATTTCAGTTCCCATATCACCTGTGTGGTGGGTTCTAACTAAGACTGAGTTGCTCCCAAGTCGTCATCATCATTAACAGCAACGCCAGATGAAAAGACTAGTGCTTTACTGCTGTACAGCCCACGTCAGTTTATTCCAACTAGGTATTTCAATCAAAAGAATGAAGATATGATGAAGGGAGGGGGACCTAGAGCTAGTCTACAGGAGTTGCCTTCACCTCCAGCATTCACCCAGACAATCTGGGTACAACGTGAATGCCGCTGACACCAGTTAGCCGCCATGTCGTTCATTGTCCCCAGCCAGGGCAGGGAGGATCACGTGAACTGTAGACTTGTTTCACACCAGGTTTCGAGCTTCTCAATGGCCAGGTGAGGTGTGCGCATCTTGCGCGCCCCTGAAAAACGCAACGAAAAGAATCAACGAACAAGTGCGCGATCCCAATCCGCATGGGTGCTCCAGAACGAGCGTTATTCAGTGGTTCACCCCCGCAACCTATAGCAAGTCACAATGTATTCTATCTGTGCGGCAGGTTGGCTTCGGTGCGAGGGTGCCATCTGGTCAAGCGGTTTCGGTTGTTTCGGAATTAGGTACTGCATAAAAACAATCTGGCACACAAATGCAGCAGGCGTCCCGATTATTGTCTTAGGTGACCCGCCAGTTCGGCCTCAGCGTCGCTAAGTCGACCTAGTTGTGGCATTGACAACAATATCTGGGCTCTTAGTCCGCGGCAACGATGCGCTCAATGCGTCGTAAAAGCTGTTTTTGAGTATGTCAGAGCTACAGTTCGTTGGGGCGTAAGCAGATACGATAAATGGTCAGTGATCATCGGCGTATTTACTGGATAGTCTCACAGATGCTGCCAAACGGATCACACAGAGAGGTGCCTGATAACGGGCATCCATCGAAGCAGAGACTCTTCAGCTCTCTTTAACCCCAACAGAACTAGCATTGGCGGCTTCTGGATCACCAAAGGCGCTCAACAAGAGACTAGCGGAGACCGATGGACAGGCCAGCTCCACAAGCATTCTTGGGTTTTGAATCCTCGTCTCAGACGGTTTGAGCCACGTCAATAAAAAACGGGTCAAGCGTGCATGCAAGAGCAGTCAGCTTGTTTCAGGGCTAAAAGTTGCCAGCTGAACTGCGTGACGGGGTTTGAAGGATGATTTCGAAGTGTGTGTGGTGGCCGTGTCATTGCAGCTAGCGGCAATGGATGGAAACAGGTGTAAAAGCCGTCACACCCCGTTAAGACCCAGTCTACTCGTAACGGACTGCTGAGTACGTTGCAAAAAATTTATATAGGCCGGATCGTCGTGAGGTATTTTTTTCCAAAAACAGATATTCAGTGCCATGAGCCATCTGGCAAAGGTTCGGTACTTGAGCGCTTCTGTTTGGCACTTGCATACTGCTCCTGTTAGTAATAGCAGAAAGATGTTGAACAGAAGATAATATGATAGTCTGGTTGAGAAGTCCATGAGAACCTCTTAGGGTATATCTGTTTTTTACACATGTTGACTAGCCCCCACCCACTGCATCATTGTGATTTTTCATTGTAGGGTGTTTTAGACTTCCTTCTGTCCTTTGAGTGTTGTCTGAGAGTCAAGGGATTTTTTATACAGAATAGAGCTTCAGGTTTACTGGTTAGCTGTATTACCACAGTCTTAACCGTCCCGTACTTTCATCGGTTGTTTGATGACCCGTCTTCGCAAGACATCCACTTCGTCCCGTCTTGTTTGCGCTCCGATTCGCATGCGCACTTAATACACGGTTTTGCTACCGTTTACTGTGAACGGCCCATTCGGCGGAGTCATTTTCACTCCATTTAATGGTGTACAGCTCTTCTATCCTATTTCAGTATCAATGCAATTTAATTGTCCGAACCAGCAGCTTGCCAGTCATTTCTTCACGATCAATTTCATTTCAGAAATCGGCTCCATTATCAAAAAAGCCTTCCAAAAAGATTAATCCAAAGGCCGGTACAAAACAAGCTTCAATATCTTCGTTTTTCAGCCGAACCTAGTCTTCTATACCGCGTGCTTGAAAGTGCTCAGATCCCCTTTGTGTTTCCCGTTTTGTCTTTATCAGCTGGTTTTATCGCATCCTACTCAACGTTTATTACACAGATAAATATCAATTACATATCTCTGTCCCGTAGATGACTTTCCTATCTGTTGAAAAGGTTGAGTGGTGCTCACGATCCGTTCCCTGCAGGTTCTTTTTCTATTGTACTCGATCTATGACGTTCGAGGCGAGATGACTCAATGGTTAGAGCAGGAATTTACTGACTGGATGTGCATAGATCCTTGCTCGGGCACTGACCGCGCTTCGAGGCAGGATTGGCTACCGATGGACTTATAATCATCATCATCAACGACAGCATGACATCAGTGCTCAACACCAATGCTTCACTGCCGTACAGCCATGACTTATTTGAAAGCCTTATTGTAAAGAAAAGAATAAAGGTGGATGGGGCAGGGACTTAGTGCTAGCTTAACACAATCATTCCGAGGTGCCTACACCTCCAGACATTCACTCAGGCAATCTGGATAGAAACTGACAACAAGAACGCCACTGACATCGGTTGGCAGCCATATCTTGTAGTGTCTCCAACCAGGCACAGTGAGGATCACGCGGTCCCCATCCTGGAAGGCGAGTAGCACCGACAGCACCCAAGCGTTTCGTGATCTCCCTCATACTCCTCTGCCAGGTCATGGGTTGGCCACCTCTCTGTTTACGCCACTCCGAATTGGGCATGGAAAACAGTACTCTCTTCGGCAAACGATGGTTCGGCATGCGTAAAACATGTCCCAACCAACGCAGCTTCTGGGGCTGGACACATTCTTCAATGGAAGTACCCGTTACACAACCGAAAACACGCTTTCTAACTGCCTCGTTACGGATTCGCTGACACCAACCCACACGAGCTATGGTTCTGAGACAACGATTGTCGAACACCTGAAGACGTCTCAGGTCCGCATCTCGAATAAATCAAGTCTCACAGCCATGCAACAAGACAGCCCGTACTGTAGCTTGATACACACGTCCCTTGAGATTCAGAGATGAACCATTCTGACGCCATAGGTGTCTCAAGTTAGCAAATGCGGCCCGAGCCTTGCAGATTCGTGCATTCACCTCATCTGTCAGAACTAACACAACTTCCAAGACACGTAAAATGCTCCACAACTTCCAGTACCTCTCCCTGGATTGTAAGTGGCGTGTTCAGTGACTGCACGTCCACAAGCATGACCTTACACCTTGTGGGTGCGAAATGCATACCAAAGGACGGGATGACTTTGGTCAGTTCATCCAAGAATACTTGCGCCTTCTCCCCCTCTTCGAACATGAGAACGATGGACTTATAAATCAAGTAAGGGTGGGGCCCCTAAGCCTGCTGGAACTGTGGCATGACTGACATCATGAGCAGGAGATATTTGCTCCGTTACGACCCTCACGAATGATGAATAGTCAGATCCTCACGGAAGTTCCGTGGAGCAAAGTACTGAGTTCACAAGCTGCGTGCACACAGGTGGGGTCAGTCGTAATTTCCTCTTGGCTAGACGAGGACGTATTTTGAACCCGAACATCAAGTGACACGGCGGTTGGTATATTTTTGTTAAGAAACGGTCACTCCTCGTTCACATTTTTGTGATGACTTGATTATATTCTGTGTGGACAATACTGATTTTTCTATAAGGTTTAGAAGTGTGCATATCAGGAATGTGGACTGTACACACCGGTATACAAAGCGCACTGAAGCAGGCAGCACTTGTGACGCAATAATGTAGCCACCGTCTGAAAAGCTTGTAGGAACGAATGTCTTTTACACTGCTACCATACTATACGGACNGTGCGATTACACGACAATGTTATTCCCTCGGATCCTTATTGGCACCAAGGGCTTGTACGTTGCAAACTGATCGGAATTCGCCAGCAATGTACAGGCGATCAGTGCTTGATGTACTGCCGGCAAGCAAGCGCTCCAACACCGAATTCGAAATTGGCCAGAATGTGACGCAGTATTGCATCTCACTCTCCATTCTCCGGTTCACTACTGTTTTTGATGAGACTTCGTGATTTAGAAGAAAAAAGATGGAGTGCCTATTCAGTAGCATCCGGACTTTCCTCGTGTCAGCTGTAATCACTTCCTGGCCAGAATGAAGCTACATGAGTCGAAAATCGGTATTTTACTTTTTACGGATGACTACGAGGTGGAATCTCACTGACTCAGGAGCATTCAGTTCGACAGCATCTTGCATTGTTCCAAATACAAATGCTTATGAGGCATTTTAATCAGCCCACCCCGAATTCACAGCAAACTATTAGTTGCGCAATAGCCTGTTACGCAAAATGTTGGCTAATGTGACAACATGTTGCCTAAAGACTTGACGATCGATAGTGAACAGACTGATTAGATCTACAAGGCAAGCACTGCACTCGGTGGCCCACATGATCACGTGCGGAGCCTGCACGTAAACCAAGTGCATCTATCTGTGTTCGCCATCGTATGGCCGTGAAGCAGACGCTTGCGCAACGTCTTTTGGATTTGCCGATCAGATCGATTCCCGAACATTATTGTTCTCAAACGAACCCAGATCATCGGAGCAGAGTGTACCCTGACGCAGTATGGCAGCTTAGCAAAGCAAAACGAATGGTAGATCACCGCATTTTGAAGCAACCCGTGCAGCTGGTTAGTGCATGGAGCATGAACTCGAGCGTAGCCGAAATCACACTACTCTGACATTCCTCATCCAAGTTTGAAAAGTCGTAAGCTTGTTTCAAATCTTTTGAGATCTTAGTGTTGACAGCTCAACAAACTTCGGGACACCGGCCCACCTGAATGCTCGAACGAAAGTGAAAAGGCCGAATTATGTTGAGCTCAACCAAAGCTACATGGAGTGATGATGTATGTTGGGATCGCGTTCGCTGGTCTCCAGCGTATTCACTTTAAACAACGGGGCAGTAGTGAATTTTCCAAAGCAGGACTAACAGCGATCCCATCCTTTGTCCGCTGACTGCTTAGCCATTTGTGTTCGAAATGAGCATCCTCCAGAAGGCCTCATTACGGTAACTTACTTTTTCGAAGTTGAAAGAACTAATGAATGTCACTGCGTATCACCCTAAAAGACCAGTGTTGATGCTGATTCTTTGGTCATCCTGCTTGAATTAGCCGATATATCTTGGTGGGCCCTTGCAGTGTAAGAACACCGCAACATGATTAGAGGTCATAGGAAGGAAAAGTAGATGAAAACTTAAGATTTAGCAAAACCTTAGTCACTTGTTTGGTTGGAATGCTTTTAAAATACTGATAATCTCTTGTTTGTGTGATAGCATTATCTTATTCTAGACAGAAGCATCTGCTTCCTACAACCAGTGGATATAAACCTTAAAACCTATGAATGAAAGTAGTGTACACTCTCGAGTGAATCCCAACTGAATCTCCCGTTCATGATATTCTTCAATGTGTGTGCTGCACAAAGGCCTTCCCTTGTTTCAGTTGATACGATATTCGGGATATCGCAGTTTGTGTTCTTGAGGGAACACTACACAAGTTTGTTCAAAACTTCGACTGCCCATGATTGGTTTCGCCCTTATTGGGGCCCATCATGAAGGCGCAGTCCTTGAGTTTCCATCGGTCTCGTGTTCTGTTTGAGTCCTAATGAAAACCCCTTCGTGGGTTATCGAAGAATCCTCAGCATCCTTGTGACTAGTGTTCCGCGTAAAGGATGTACTGCGATATATAGCATCTGCCAAGTGAAACATGAGCAGCCGTGTGCAGCACATAAAATTGACAAATATCATAAAACAGGGATTCGGTTGAGGCACCTGTGAAAACCAAATTAGTGTGCCAACGTGTGTAACTCGCGGATTTCTTAGAATTTTGGTTCAAGTAGGATATAAGTTTGATGAAAACTTGAGGGCTACGCCCATCTGATGAACCCCAAGGAGGACGAAATCAATCTTGGGATGTCAAATAATTTTCAGTGACCTCGTGAGTAGTTTGCTTCGTGATAGCAAACACCCACTTGCAAAACAGCGAATGTTGGGCGAGATCCAGTACATTAGGATTCAGCCGATGAGATCACTTACTGGAGGCCGATTTACAAGTGTGGTTTCTTTGTGCTCCTGGTCTACCGAATAACCACGTTTTGGTACGAAATAATGAGTTTAATCATCAAATTACGTTTCAGTGAGTGGTTCTGGGGCTTGTAGCTTCATGATGTGCAATGTCAATGGATTGCGAAGGCCTGTGAGATGGGGGGCGGTTTCCGCTGCAGAAAACAGCTACTCTCTACTCAGGTGATTTGATCAGCAGGCCAAATTAAGACCGATGTCAGCGAATCAATTTGCGGAACAGCAACACACTGGCAGCATTTTGACCTCGAACGATTGATTGAATACCTTGAGAACCAGTTCTGCTGATCTTTCTCAAAAGCCCCTCAAAGTCTAGCAAAACTGAGTAGAACATTGATACCAGATACAACAGAAACCTAATGTGAGATATTCACTGAACATGACGAAGCACCTGGTTCTGACTGTTTGCACTCTTCAGTCTTTGAATGTGAAAACTTGGGACAAAACCAGAATGGAAGTTGAGGGGAGCACTCGGGCTGACTTCAATCTACACACAAGCCTAAAGGATATCATAGGAAACTATAGTCTGATATCCGCATCCTTGAATATTATCTCGCATTATTTTGATTGGTTGATTACTGGGAGAGGCGTTCTCGTGAGAGTCGAGGTGGGTTTCACCGGCCCGAACAGCGCCAATCTTTCAGACATCAAAGAATGCTAGTTGTTCATGGTCTACAGGCCGCTTTTGACCGCTGGTTTACAGATATACACAGGTCCCCACTTACGTTTGCAATGTCTATTGGTGTGGAACAAGACTGCCCTTTCTTACCTTTCTACAAATTTGTTATTGGTGTGCTACTTGACGCTTCTCTGTCTGCTTCAGAAACCTGATAAAATATTTGACTTGATCGGCTGGTGAAGAGGCCGGCATTAACCAGCCTCACGTCTACGGATGTCTGTGGACTGGTCTGTTTGCAGAAAGGAATGATTACAGCTGCCGTTTTGATTCTGCACACGTTATACCAGCAGGAGGTTGCTAGAAAAGAGAAATGGCCCACGGGTTACCGGATTTCGTTCGAATCATAGCTGCATTGTTTTGTTTTAAACCAAACGTAAGTGATTAAGCAGCCACAACTAATGGACTTCAATCCATAAGTTCATCGACTGTATGTGAGCTGCCCGAGTGACACGTTTGTCAACCATCGTACGTTTTATCTAAACGCATGCAAGGAGCGGTAGCCTAATTAACCGCAATGCATAATGGCATAATGAGTAGCTTACACCGGTCACGTGAATAAACCTGAGTGTTCACACCGTCCCTCGTGAACTTCGGTTGGTTATCGATTTTCTCCATCATGTGAACAACACTAAATGGCCTGGGAAGCGAAGTATAGAAAGTATCTACCTAATACACTTATTCCTTACTGTGCGCTGTAGCGCTTAGTAATGGTGGCTACAAGATTACAGGCGAAAATTCAATTGAGCTCTACCCGCAATTACCCATCGGTTATGCACCATTGCTTCCAGGCACGATGCCCACGACGCTGTCATTAACTTGTTGGCAATGAAGATGCGCACTGGTGGGTCCGCTAATTCCTGGGTTGGAATGGTAAGTTGTATGTACAGTGAGGACCTGAGAACGAACAATCCCGGCCCATGACTAAACTGTTGCGTAGGAATATCCCTGTGATAAAGTCCAGTGGAACCCATATCGGTCCATAATGAGGACTGTTTCGAAATTACCTTGTCATACTGTCGTGATTCGCTCGGCCTACACTGCGAGCAGGCGATTCCTTCCGGGAGTTCATCACAGTGGGTGAAAAGCCATTTTTACTGCTCTGGTAAACTGTTCGCTTACTCAATTCAGGCGGCGAAGTTCGTTCTCGTTACGTTAGAATAGGCTACTCAGACAACCTCACTTGCCTTCTGGTAGCAATAAAGGCGTTAGTAAGTATCCTCAGATTCTGGTTTACCCAACCGAATGCATACAGCTGAATCAAAGTTAGATGAAGGTGGGAAATCTACTCCACGGACAGAAGTAAACTTGAGTCACGTCTAAGACAGACATCGAAATCGTCCCCAGATAGGTAGCACATAGGACGGAAATTGGACAGTTGATTCACAGAGTAAAAGAACCATATTTAATGAGTAAGACGAACTCCACGGAGATAATTTAATGACAGTGCACCAGCTATTGTACGTAACCAACTCCTTACCTTGATTCGCAAGAACGTACTGTTCACACACAAATGACGACTGGCGATCAAGATCTAATGTAAATAAGAAAAAATGCATGCTAATGAATGCAGGTCCGTAGTTTGAAACTGACCTCTGCATCTGAACCTCTCCTGTCTAAACTTGGGCAACCTGGCGGCTAGGCACCGAAAGGGTGCTGTAGTTGAACATTTATTATTATCACATTGTACTCAACACAGTAATCCCTTTGTCGAACGATCATCCCTTTCTCAAGTGTACACGCCGTTCGCAACAGATAGACTGTTTGTTCTCCTGAAAAAAGTACCAACCGACGCACAGGAGTGGTTAACTCGGAAACGTAATATGCATGCAGTAGAGCAGTAGGTACAGCGAAAGAGCTGGATCTAACTGATAGAGACATCGGCAGCGCCTCAAAGGCACTTTAAATCGCGCGTTTATGAAAGTACCAGTGAACATTCTTTGGCATGTTATTTTAATCTTGAAGCTGGACGGGGAAAGGCACTTGGATACCTCAGGCGTTTTGAAAAATAAAACACAAGACGGATAAACCCGTTGTAATACTGATTGTGTGCATTCGAAATAGGTGTATGAAGAGTCCGTTAAAAAAAAGGACGAAAAGAAATCTCACAATCACATTGAAAACGTTTCAGGTAGACAAAATATCACAGCTACTGTGAGTTGACTAAGATAGAAAAAATAACAAAGCAAATTAATTATCACTGGTGCACTGCTATATACAATCGTTGGCGTGGCACAAAAACACGTCGATGGGCCAAGTAGGCCCAATCTCATACACTGTGGCCACGGAAGGTGAAAGTGACTGGACACAAGGAGTCTCTGTCTGGGTGAAGTGAACGCTTACAGTTCTCATAATATATTCGAAAGTCGGTAATAAGAAGAGACAGACTGAGTGGCGCTGAATACATTCCACTTTGGTGTACTAAGAGTCAGAAGTCTGGCGGAAATATAGCCGCTACTGATCCACGAGTGCGGTCAGATTGTTGGGATATACGCTTGTTGGGCCTTGGATTAGCAATCACAGTGAATGGCGAATGTCTTGTGAGGATACTGGTGATCATAGATACTTTCCTCTGTCTACGAACACACGCGCATTCAAAAAGAATATCCGTGTCTTCTACGCTTGCGGATTCCACAGCCGAATCGTCTAAACTGGAACATAACTCATGGTACGCATTGGCGGTGATCGGAAGGATACGATCTGTGAAGGTCAAATAGGTTGTGGGTGAGAGTAAGAAAACAGCCAACAAAATGATGACCCTGAGAGCCTAATCATTTTTTAAAAAGCTCCGTAACCACCAGAGAAAATGAACATGTTACGGAGGAAAACGAGAGCGGTAACCTTTCCTTCCCAACACAGGATTAAAACATTAGAATCAACAAATGATGGGATTACTGCTGAAATTTTTCAAACGTGTTACGATTTGATCAGCCCAGTCTGCAGACCAACCGAACCGAAGAAACAACACTAATTCAACCGAGCAGTCCAGTTCTGGTTTCAGGACGTTGTAAATCGTTTTACCAGCAACTCAACGGGGACAGTGCTGTTCACTACAGGCAAATCAACTTCTTCTGAAAGACATCCTAACTTGGAATATGAACCAAAGCATACTTTTTAGAGGCATTGGATGGGTTTTAACCGAACGAATCAAATTGGCGTGATTAACGGATACCCGTGAATCCAACAATTGGATTCGTCGCAAATTGCTCTTGTTCAATCGTCGGCGTGGTTCTTTCTCTGTTGTACATCGATAGGCTGGCTGTCGAAGCTTTTACAAGGATATCGTAGTCTTCTAAGACTAAGCTGGAAACTACCTGTGACTTGGATCGTGATCCCTTGCTTTCCAAACTCAACCCATAACGCCAGTGCACCGCTGTGGCTTCGAAAACCGTTGAGTGAGTACTCGTCTTCGTCGATCCGCGAGGACTTGACAAAAACCGGACGACACTGGTTTCTGACCTTTTGTTAACACTAGAGCCAGAACACTCAATGTTCCTCCTTGGACTCACTTTTGCACTCCAAAACGTTTGCAGTTATCTGGAATCAGCTTTGTCACCGAATTTAGGTATGTTGCTGGCTTCCCTGCTGTCTGAATGACTATTCGCTACGAGGTATCAGCATACTGAAGCGACCTATTGAATGGAGAAGAGAAATTCTGACCAGGAGTGCTGGGTCTTATCTAGGGATCTCTCTAGATGAGTCGTACAGAGTTTCGAAGAAGTCTGTCCTTGAGAGGAGTATGGTTGGCTCCATGTAAACAATGTGATTAGTTATAACTGCTCTGGTTTGTTGCTCATGCAATGGTTGTAAAATGAAAAAGACACCGTTACGCGTTGGATAGAGCAAAGATATAGATGAGCTGAAGCGTCTGAAAACCACTGGGCAAAGATTACTTACTGGAGTTTTTCGGATGGAGCTCGACCAGGTCAAAGTCAGACACACAAAAGTCGGGAACCCGAAACTTGGTTAGGACTCGGAAAAGTACATCGGAGACGCTGTCTGTCAACGAGACCTGTTTGTGTGAGAAAAAGAAGTCCACAGGCATATGCATGAAGACGCATCAAGCCCAGGGAATTCGTCATACGTTCAATTGATAAGCCGACGTCTGAAACTAGTTTATTTGGTGAATCGGAGGCCATTTACAGCATTTGTGGTTGGGTATTTAACTGTGTCAGAGGTGAGGTTTATGTGGTCCTTGGAGTCGACAGAACACCATCAACACCACTCTGTACAATCCACACAATTCCCAAGCAGACACAGAGCAAGTTGGGAGTACTTGGGAACCTGGGTAACTGCCTCGTCAAAAGCTTTCTGCAAAGATAAAAAGTGGCCCATTTAACCTAGTTCAAAGACTACAATACTAAATTGTGCGTCTTTACCATTGTTATGGGCCAGAGTCCTAGCTGGAATCTCTTAGCATCTTCTATCAAGACGTGTTTCAATCACGTCGGAACCTCGATTGGAGGAACTGCAGGTCTGACTGGGTTGCTGCCAGTATTATTCAAAGGAAGAGATAAGCTAGATACCTGGATGAAAAAGGCCGCAGCAACGGGCTCACCTTTTCGATCACTGAGTTTTCAAATGGAATATTTTCCCCGAAGGACTTGTCCAAGTTTGGCGTGGACCCAATTCCGACGGATTTCCAGGACTTGCTAATTCGAGTGGTGGTTGGACTGACGTAGAGTGGATCATCTAGGGTCACTCGTATGCGAATTCTCCTGGGTCTGGGGTGACTTAGACTACGAGATCGAAATTCCCGCGGAATAATTGGGGAATGATGATGGGGCTTGGAAGACGAGCGACGCTGGGAACGGAGTAAGTGGACAGGATGAAGCAAGAAGGATTCATAATGCACGCAAGATTTGGGTTGGAAACTACAGTCAAATCGAAATAATCACACTATTTAGGCGAATAAAGGTGATTAAAGCTGCAAGTGATACACAAAGGCCTCGATGATAGTTATGGCACGTGACATGCATGGCGACAGCCGAATAGCTCATAATCTACGTTGGTATGTGCTAGACTTTCAAGTGTCGCTGATAACGTATCCAGATGAATGCCTGGATTGGAATTCTGAACAGAGGAAGACAGGAGTGGGCGAGTAGCGTGAGTCAGAACTGGACAATCAACCTATGGGCCTTTTCAGCTATTGTAGTTATATAACGCAAATAGATCAAGCTAACTGATGTGATCCAGTTTTTTTGGGACAGGAAACAGCTACAAAAACCGGCTTCCCAAAACAGCACATTGTGAATAAGTCAGTAGACCACTAGTTTCTAACCCAAGTTTATACGTGAAACCCAGAGTCAGTAACAGATAATCATATTTGAGCGAACCTATAGACTCAAAACTGATGATCGAGTAAACATTAATTTTTACATCGTGTTCGCAATTCTTATTTCCCCAAAGAGTGCGCACTTCTGAAGAGCACTGGGTTGAAATTTACCGACGCGTTTTCGTGGGGTTGTTACTCGGCTTATCAGTCCGATTGCAGTGTTCGCGAGACTTGGACTGCCTCGACATTCTCCATCCGTTAGGCCGCAATACAGGGGCGTGTTACGGTGCACCCTGGTGGTAACCCCCCAAAAACCAATATTTTCTCAAGTCTCCAGTCTCTCCGTGGGCACTCTCGGTCGTGTTATTTATTTCGGGCTAATTCAGGGTGCTTGCATGAAAAACTTCCAATTGCTCCTCTTCTGGTGGCACGTTGGTGCAGATGCGGCTATAACACAACATCAGTACGAGAGAGCTGCATTGCTTCGTAAACTTTTGCTGCTGTATCAGCGGTCCCCCATAGAAAAAACAAGAAAAAGTTCTTCAGTGGAAGAACGATACAATCTAATGGTAACGCCACCGCGCGTTTTTCCCATTCTTCGGACTATTTCTTTCACTTTTCCGGATGCAGTGGGATTACTTAGCATCCCTATAATTGATTTTCGCCACTAAAACACCACTGGGTCCTCAACTTCATATCTAAATTACCCATACGGAACCGGGCTTCGTTCAATTAGGGGCCATCAGAAGACGTTCAAGGACGTATTTTTGTTCTCCCTTGACAATACCCCCGCGAAAATATCCAAACCATGTTTTCTTACTGAAGTTTTGATGAAAGTTGAATAGATATCCTTTACTGCAGCTCAAGTAAATCCAAACTAAAAATCACAGGGTTATTTTTTAACAAACGGAGTAGTGGCTCACAACCTGGGGTAATTCCCTCTAAGTTATATAAGGCAGATAGATTCAAGCAAACTGAGACCAGAGTTCCTCGGGCTCAATAATGTGTATTATTGATTGTGAACCACGTGACTTAAGTTTTGCTCATTTTTTCAACAAACCTCTGAATGAAGTTCGAAAAATATCTGCACGATGATATGATGCATTGGACGGCATGTGGTGGTACTAGCCGGCAGATGGTTGTTCTCGTCAGCTTGTCGAGTATCACTGTCATGCGTCTTTTGACAGTTAACTAATTGGTCAATTAAAGTTTAGCTGCCATGCCATCCACACGAGGCAAGAGGGCTGAGACACTGCCAGAATGCCCATCCTAGACAGGAATAGACTAGAGGCAGAGGCAGAGTTCGAACCCAGGACCTCCCGGACAGTAAGTTCGTGCCTTAACCACTCAGGATTTGAACTACTGACCCTCTCTCATACATAGCACATTTTGATATCCCCCAACAGCGGTCTGTCGCGGAAATACGTTGTGAAACATTAACTGTACGAATTCACGATCCCTCCGAGAAGTAAAATACAGGAGGTATCTGATCTCGTTTAGTTTTAGAGGATGAAAGGACATTTACTCATAAACGATAGAGGAAAATGTTGGTAGCTCAGGGAGCATGTCGTAATATGGAGATGTACCATCTGTACTCACCCTGTACGTGACTGGTGATCCTGGAGTGGCGGTGTTTTTTTCGCACTCAGAGAAAAATGGTCGCCCCGAATATCGTGCCGACTTTGTTAGTTTCCGCCTAAGTGAAAGCGGCGTCTTTTTCTCAATGGGTTCAATGTTGGTCGTGGAAGCCCGATGAGTGTTGTCTGTAGTCTCCTGGTTGAAGTACGGGTGTGACAATATGGACGGTCTGCTAGATGAGTAGTTACTAACTGAATGGGATTTGGGTCTGGTCACCGGAGAACTGCCGGAAATCGCTGTTAGCTTGGAACAACTGGCATTTTTGGAAGCCAGTTTGGGTAGGGCTAACGATGAGGAACTTGAAGGTGTAAATAAAAGTGATTCAGATGAGAATGCATGCACGAAAGCTCCGAAAATAGTGCCATCTTACTAGTATATAACTGGTTCAAACCTTGATCAAAGCAATAGCTTCAACCAGCCTACAGTTCTCTGCAAAGAATCTGACCTCGATTCGTGAACGCGAACTGTACTCCAACGCTGGTGTTCCCGAAATCATTAGACTATAGTCGGGAATATCTTGTGGATTTCTGTTCTGAACCACTCGCAAAAGAAATGCGAAACTTAATCCTAAAAATTCTTGGTCTAAAGAAGCCAAAGCGCACCGAAGAAACTGACCAGCGCAGCACCTCTCAGCACTTAAATTAAAACGATGAAGCAATTATCCTGTTTGTGTGCCCCTAGACAACATTTAATCCTTCCGTAACGTTGGAGCAACAACGAAGGCCAAACTTGGTTAGAAGTAAAAATATTCTCGAGATTTGGTCAATGGTATTTTCGCCTTGGATGCACGTATGGACCAGGGAGAGGTATTCAGCTATATCGAGGTTTACAGTTTGTATCTCACCGGTTCTGTGGCACCATCAGACCCAGAACATGGGATGAAAATGTAGTGGGGGGAAATGTCACCGATAGGTTCCGCCATTCTCGTTCGATTTAGTGACGAAATCACGTAGCGCAGAGAAAACAACGCCTTTGTACATTGCAGTGATGTAAACTGGCCTAGGATAGCATATTGCCTTATTACGCTAACGGTTGCAGAATTCATATACAGACAGTGGCTACGACAAGAGCGCATCGTGCGAGGACTGTCTTCGCAAAGAATTTGCTGAATACGATCAAGTTTGTCCATATCCCTGGGTTTTGAAATTTGAGCTGGAGAAGGCTCGGCGATCAGGTCGCGAACATCCTGAACGGAAGAGCTGTGGTTTGAAATCAACTCCAGTATCTTGATTGCTTCCGTCTGGGTCTGAGCAACCTGGCAGTGCCTCAGTCCTCGTGTTTCCTTCAGGTCGCAAGCCAGCCGCACAGAAAAAGGATTTTCACGAGTACTATTATCCATGGAGATTTACAAATCGCCGTCAGGTGAGGAAGGTCACGTGTATCACCTTCTTAGGGGATGGCAGCAGCAAACCATTCGGTTCATTCTTTCGTGTTAGCCACCAGCTAAAATTGATATTCCACCACTATGCTGCGCTTTTCCGGTATTTTCCGTACCCGCTACCATAACTACCATATGCTTGTAATTGACGTGATTGACGTTCCGTTTAGTGATACTGTAAACAATCCTGGTCTCAATAGTGATTTACACTGGAGACGTGTAACTCATCGATAATACGATCGATACAAATAGACTCGTTAGAGCTTGAATTAGGCCCGAATGACAGTGCCAATGTGACTGTTCCACTAAGGGAGAGGTGGTCATGCTGTTAGGCATCTGTACTGTTAGGCTGTGATCAGTATTGGATTATAATTCATGTAAGTTGGATAAGTTTGCCAAGGCAGGCGACGGCAAAATCAAACATCGGAAACATTCACTTACTGTAAATATTGATTTAATGGTCACTTCGCCAGACAGCTAATTCCGAAGTGTGGTTTGCACAACTTTTAACTCTGGCACCTCTTACAATCGAAAACAACTCCAGTGGTCTTTTCACTCTTAATAAATACTCGTACCTTTTATAGAGGACGTGTGGCCGTTTAGTTTCGACCTACATACTCAACGTGAGGACGTTACCTTCTAGTGGCAGATTGCTTGGCTCTAAGCACCTCAAACGACTCCGAACACACAGAGACTATGCAGACGATTGTGGGAAACGCACTGATGTGACTAAACAGATAAGACTGGAATAAAGAAATTGAAGCCTACTCTCGTTTTCGAACTAAGGGATCCGGACGCGTCCGAAGAAGTGTGCAGTTGTATCAGCTTTGCTTGTTAGGGAAACTTTGACCCACATATACCGCCTGGATTTGAGCACTCTAAACGCAGTTTTTTTGCGTTTCCACTACATCTTCCAACATTTTTAGTCCCATTTCTTTTTCAACTGAAAAATCACTCTGATATTTCGAGGAGTATTTGGTGCTTAAATCCTGTCGGTTAACGACCTCTTTTGGCCCTTGGTAGCTAAAGTAAAGTAATATGCTGGGTCGACTAAGGATAAGGTATACGTTACTAATGCGACCTACATCAGTTTGTCTAGGCCTGACCTTTGGGTGACTGTTCCCATTAAAATTGTCCTCAAATGAACGGAAGATATGACACCAATGCTTCCTCTCCAATCATGAAGAAAGCCACGCATATGACAGTATCGCTTGATATTTGCTCTTGCTCGTTTTCTCGTTGTGCCCGTCCAAGTTTGCTTACAAAACGATTTGTAATGTACTGGATGCTCCCCATCTCCTTATTCATTTGACTGTCTTGTCTCTGGACGAACTGCCAGGAATGCATGACTGGCTCATAACAATAAGCTGTAGTAAAAGTGCAAAAACATTTATTTCTACGCGGTTTGTTTTTTCACAACCATTGTGAATGAAGTATTTGCAGAAGCCTGTCAACAACTGTTTAGAATAAGTACGGCAGCCGCCCAGAGGGACGAGCACCCCCTGGGAGAAATAAAAAGCACTCTTCTTCCGCTTCGAAGGCGGTGGCTGCTTTGACCTGCTCCTTGGGTGGCCCATGAGAGAGATCTCAAAATGAGCTTACCGCAATGTCTTCATTGTAACCATAAATAGTGAAAACAGGAAATACAGCTATTTTGGGGATACATAATGACTCAAAATTTCTGTATCTCACTCAGAACATGATTAATATAATGATAGCCCACAGAAAAAAACGTCAGGAGACTCACAGGTCATTCGGAGATTTCCAAGCAGCTTGAGAATCCCAGCTAAATTAAGCAAAAAATGTTGCTGATGCGATGACAACGAATGTGTAAAACATGGTTAACAAGGAGGTGAAGTTGATATCTGGCACTACATTAAATACACATGGTTGCCATTTTGCAAAGAAACTTTAACAGGCTGAGTGGAAACAATTTTTATCGATCAACATTTGCAACATTCACAAGCTGACGTATCATGTGATCCCGTTTTCAGGTTAGAATGGTGAGTCCGATAAATTCTCGGACTGAGTGATCAGAATCATGACGGAAAACTAAAAAAAGGAGAGAATGTGCCGCTCGAGTCCTATCCGATTTCTCACAAATCTCTAGTCAGGTGTGCGAATACCTTGTCTAACACTCCAATTCAACACAGACAGTTCGAAAGGAACCTTTGAATGGATAAATGAAGCATCTCGATGTCTAACCATGACAGGGGATGCATTCTAGGCATAATGACAATGCTAACCAATTAGATTTTGACCAACTCTCTGTTCTTTGCTCTAATTGTTAGATAGCTAGTCAACATGTTTGCTGTACTCGGAGTCAAATCTGTGGTGGGAATGTAGCTTCAACAAGACCGTCAAACAAAATCGATAGAACGGCGCACCATCAAAAGCTTCGGGTGTTTGGGTCACAAAATGGTCGCTTGAAAGGTTGCACGATCTTAACTGATTTAAACTAAACCAGGAAAATACTGTCAACCCATCGGGATACTTACGTCATACAGCTTGCCGAATCTTGTGCTGGTTCGATATCCAAAGACAACTGACGTCTGTGGGAAGGAGAAAAACGAGATTGTCGCAAAATGCACACTAGTTGCCTGAAAACATCACAAACGAGAGGTTCAGCTGGATTCCGGGTGAGTCTCTCGAAAAACCAAATTAGAAAAGACAGTTATCTGAAAAACTATATGGAACACTAGGTGCTTCCTGGTGAGTCTCTCAAAAACCAAATTAGAAAAGACAGTTATCTGAAAAACTATATGGAACACTAGGTGCTTCCTGGATGACCTCTTTTAGAGGGGCACCAAGTGCGATGACGAGTATCAGAGAGTGAGTTGGTCAAACTTTATCATGAGACCCAAGGCGTTCTATACACCTGGGGATACCAACTTGACGTCCAGTTATCCTAAGATTTCATCGATAAACTAGGGTTTCTATGAGTCAATTCGAGAATTTTTGGGGATAATTTACGAGGAACGGATGTTTTACCATGCCAGTGCCAATCAACGAGTGACGTGCACGTTCCACATTTGTAAATTATTCGACGGGTTTGACTCTGAAAACGAGTGAGTTTTAGTAGTACAAATCGGATGAAGTAGTTTTCTGGTGCAGAAGTAAATTCTTATGTGATTGTAGCGCGAACTCCCGAAATTCGATCAGGCCGTTGTGGTGTTAATTTTCAGCTTCAGAATAAAACATACAATTTTTCCCAGAACAATCCGGCTTTGCCATCACATACGAAAAGGAACCTCACTAGAGTGGTGGGCTGATAGAAAAATTAGACTTCAGTTTTCCTGAATACTTTGGTAAGGTGGACTGAATTCATTTCATATCAAATCGGTACATAGCTGGATTTGATTCTCCGGTTTTTGTTTATGAAGCCCAATCGTCTGAATCATACTGAGGTAGTTCCTCGCTATGTCGTCACCTACATTTCGTATTGCGGGTTTTTATTCAGACTACTTATTTTTCTGGATTTCTCCGCAATATAGCGGCACCCGCGGAACCTGCAGTCAAGTGCTTTTGTGGAGTTGATTAGTCAAATACGGCCATCTGTTTACAATAAATCGTCATTTGCTAGTTACAAAACAAAAATTGAAAATGGAGTAAAACAGCAGCAACCAAATACAGTTGACGAGACATAGAGGGCGCCTAACGTCGTTTCCCGAAACGTAGTCTTTTGAACAGCTGAAAACGCTTTGTTTTAGTGTACGGTACAAAAAGCGTGATCATTTCCATCCGCAGCGTGCAGTGCTGCACAGCTCATTTAGCACCTCGCCCTCAATGAAGTCACCGACCTTTTATACTGCGTTTGCTGTGTTACATTACGACAGACTTAGCCATTGGGATTGAAAACCTGAGATTTGTTCAATTCCACATTCAAATACAAACAATGGGGACTTCGGACTTTCGGCTGAGACCGTTATGACAGCTTCAAAATAGGAGTGGGACGGGAGCCCAAATCCGCCAACCACTAAAGTAACTGTCAAGCCAATTTCATTTCAATTAAGAAACACCAATGTGAACCATTACTTTTTACCCACACAATCGAAGGTTAAATAATCGTTTTTGAGACAGTTATAAAATAAGCCAACTGAATGCATGCATGGTGGAAAGCTATGAGGGTGTGTGTGTGTGGTACTCCCGCATTAGTGCGAATCTCCATGTGACCACCCCTTATTCGAGACGGAGAGCGTTTTCATTCTCGGATAACTTTTCTAAAGTTTATCATCCGTCTTGAATCTGAAATGCGACTGAACGCATAGAAGGCTCAACTTAGCAGTCACATCAGCAAATTAGAATGTGCCTATGGTCCATCAATCAGCTGCCGTTTAACCGATCATGGACAAGTAATGAATTAACCAGACATACCACGTCATTGGCTTCTTTACTACGTTGATATTCAACACCAGCAGCTTCTGTTATGGTAATATATCCAGTTTTTTCGCTACACATTCCGTCTATTCCCCAGTCCTAAACGCGAGTGTCGAACGTTTTGGTGGCGAAATCTATCAATAGGAAGAGTTCCTCGTCGCTTTCAAATTTTATTTATAGCGAAAGTTATAAAGTCTGCTTGTCAGCAGCGACAACCACAAGGTGCCCTCCCAATCCCTAAAGCAGAGCATTCCTTTCTTGAAGAGAACAAAAACAGAACCAAGGCGGAGACTATTGCTGGTTCCGGAAACGGCTGATTCATCCAAGACAAAATACCACAATGGATAGGCCTCATGCCCCTAACCCAAAAGGACTGATTGACTGACATCGCTAGAGGCTGATGCCATGAGCATTGATGAGCAGTATCAGGGCATATTAATGAGATGTTCCTGAGTAGACTGGACGTGAATTGGCCATCCATAATTAGGTCCAGGAAACAAGCATAATGTCAGATCTGGAAGATGTCATAGTGGTGACGTAAAGTTCCATGGGTTTATCTCGAAGTTTGATAATCTTCGTAATTTGCAGGGATCTTGGTTCCCTTGTTTCTCAATACACCATGTGCTCTGAGTCGTGCGACAAGCCGGACAGTGATTACAGACTAAAAAGAGAAATATCCAGCAAAAGCATGCACAGACTTCAAATCTCCAATTAAGTAAACTCAAAATCCGGGGAAAAGGAGCAGAGCTCAGCTTAAAAATCCCATTATGGGTCCTACGGAAGCATCCAACAAGAGCGTTGTTCCACAGTGACGCCTAAACAAAGCACAGCATTAGATGCTCCTCTGCAAACGAAAAAATTCCCTCTATGCTTTCATCAATTACAGGAAACAAACTCAACATAACCATAAAGGGTCCACCTTCTGGTTCGTCAAATGACTAGAGAAACAGCACAAGACTACTGGTTCAGGATTGCTAGACGACAGTCAACGAAAAAAGGCAAAATCAACAGCACTCTTATTGTACTATTATGCAGTGTTAGTGGTGTCCCGCAGATGTAAATTGATGTGGATTGACCGACGATTCATCAAGGGGTTACGGTTTGGATATTTCATAAGGCTGCAAAACAGAGCGGAGCTAATGAAGCTGGAAAGTGACGGCGATGAAATGAAATCGACTTCCGTTTTCATTGATCAACTCGGCTACCATATTCGCTCGATAATCAACCTAACATATCTCCAGCTATTAAAACAAAAGAACGCGAAAGCAGCCTACCAGCTGGTCCCAAAAACGATGAAACCAGAAAATCGAATGAAGACAGGAACGGTGTGGGGGGGGGGGGGGAATGAATGTGGAGCAAACCACGAATGGACTCACGCTTCGTCTTCCGAGAGTGGGGGGAACGAGGTCAACCAACACTTGTATTTCTCGTCTACCTTCAAATCGTACGACCGGGACGTGTATTGAAGCAGGTACAAATCCTTGAGAAACTCGCCTTCACGATAGTGTTTTTCAAAATTTATCAATACCTCTGGTTGGGTTTTGGACAGATTGTTGTTGTTTTCGTAGTCGTTTGTTGTCGGTTTGTGGAGCGGGCCGATTCGGATGACACCGGAAGGAAGCTGGAGGGGGGAGGTAAGCAGTCGGATGAGTAATGCGGATCACTGTGGCATCATCATCATCATGTTGTCGGTGGAGCGGGCCGATTCGGATGACACCGGAAGGAAGCTGGAGGGGGGAGGTAAGCAGTCGGATGAGTAATGCGGATCACTGTCTGTGCATCATCATCATCATCGAAAACAGGACATCAGTGTTCAACACCGATGCTTCACTGCTGTACAACCATGACTTATTTGAAAGCCTTATTGTAAAGAAAAGAATAAAGGTGGACGGGGCAGGGACTTAGTGCTAGCTTAACACAATCATTCCGAGGTGCCTACACCTCC